GCAATTCTTAATTGAACAGTATAGGTCGTAAAATTGGAAGCAAACATCTTTGGGTTTGTTAATCTCTCCAATTGTTTCATTTATTATTCCAGCTTGTTTAAAACCACTCTCAATGAGATCTTTAAATTGTGGAGCTGATAATTGATTGTGAATAACAGAATGCATGTTGATGAAATATTGACGATCAGTTAGTGATTTCTGTTCGGTTGATATGGGTATAATGTTCGATTTTTTCATGAATATATTGCCAGGAACGAAATAAAGAGAGATCTTGTGGTTGAATATAACCAGTTGATCCTTCGGGAAAAATCAATAATTGACTATCTTGATTAGGAAATGCTGCTCTAAATTTTGTTAGATCAGTCTGAGTTTTCCAAGAATCAAGGAAGAGAAGAAATTTTTTACCAACCAAAGGTCGTAGAGCTTCATTTAAAAACACGTCATGTTTTTCATCACTACTTTTTCCTGATTTTGAAGCTTTAACTACAACATTTGGTGGTACAATTAAATCTTTTTGCACTCTTTTACCAAATGTATTTGCTTTTTCTTGAAGGATGAGTAAGAACTTCTCTAATAAAAGGCCATTAGCTGATGTAACTGGTTGAACTGTATAAGAATGGGTTGTCTTATATTTCTTTTTAACAGCCACTTCTGTTGTTCTTTCTCCAGTAAAAGAAAGAGTTCTTGGTGGAACGTATTCCTGTTGAAATGAACAATGATCGCTGTTTAAAATTTCACTTGCAGAATAATTTGATATTAAAGATCTTTTACTTCTGACCCACTTCTTAGCATCTAAAATACATATATATCCTATGAAGACAAACTATCTAAAGCATCAATAAAAGTTTAAATACCATTTAAACTGCAAATATTCCTGTTTGATTTAGTTCGAGTAACAATTTTGTTATATCTTCTTGATGATATTCTGTTTTCCCTTTTAAAAGTATTGATAAATGATTTGCTTGCCTTGAATTCATCCCAATTTAATTCTCTTGCTTTTTGAATTGCATAACGTTCAAGATCAGCATCATGAACGGCTTCTTTTTCAATGGTTTTGTTAAAATAAAATTCGTTAAACATAAATTCTTTAATTTGTTTTAATTTTTCTAATCTTGTACCATCATTTTCGATATATTCTCTAAATCTTGTAATACAATTCCTATGTTTGATTTTTCTAAATCGATTGGAAATAGTTGCAAATCTAGCATTCGGATGTTGGTCAACCCATTCGATTATATTTTCCATTTCTTCTAATGTAAAACGATTTTTTAAATAAAATTGATCATTCTCATCAATTTCATCGTCGCTCACTTCTTCATCAGTGGTTTCATCATATTCATCTTCAAATTCGAGAGTGTCATATGTATATAGCTCATTGAAGTAACTATCTTTAAATGACTTCAGAACTTCGAATAAACGTTCTGCAGTAAAAATTTCACTGGTAGTTGTTGTAAAATTTTTAAATCCATATTCAGTTTGAGCCAAATGGAAAAGATGTTTAGCGATGTTCAATAAATTCATGTTTTTATTTGATGAAATAAACGTTTTTAGTCGGTAAATATAGTAGAGAACGAAAGAGAATAATTCTTGGATAGTATATTTCATTGTGATTTCTTAATAACAATCGCAAAGAAATGGTCAATAGACCACCAAGTGACGTATCAATGCACTTTAAGTTGAAATATTATACAGGTCGTTTTTCAACTAAATCATATACTTTTTCTTTTCAGTTAGATAGTACCTAAGTTCTAGCAAATATCAAAACTAATGTAATCTTAATGCTATTGATAAAGTTCAGAAAGATTTTTGTAGTCTAC